TCATTGGGCGAGTGGGACAGCGCCCTCTATTGGCCATTAAATCATTAAAAAAATATTATATTCACTTTTTTAAAATAAAACCATTACATTTATTTGATCCAATGTAATTAATTCCGTATTTATGAAGTAAATTCTGTATTTATTTACTGTTTCAGAATCCACTAATCACCCTCCGTAGGTTATGAATACAAAGTAATGTAATGATGTAGCAAATATATGACTTTTGTTAAAACCGAATTAGTGAATTTGGTTCAATTTGAAATCTATTTTTTTTATTTAAAGGGATATTTAATTATGAATCGTAAAAGTGCATTTTAAAATTGGAATGATAATATGGTATTTTTTATCTAATATCTATCTAATTTATCTAAAATCCCTCAGTTCACTGTCAAATGCAACTGGTAGGAAATTTGACTTTCTTGAATTACTCACCTGTTGTTGTGGAAGTAGAAAGGATGAACTCGTGCTTAACTTTGTGCTCCACATGTGCACATGTAAAATGTTTGTCTCAGTTGGCATCTGACTTAGTTTATTTTAATGTTATTGGCTTTCAGTTAATTATTTTCACTTAATTTGTTTGCCTAGTTTGAAGTGTGAAGTTTATGTTAAGGTTGCGGCTTATTGTTTAAATTACTGACTCAAACCAGTCCAATTGTTTGGAACAGCAAACCTGAATGACTGAATGACCCCTTCGTCGGTCACTTTACACCTGTTTTGCACTATTCATTTACATTTCCTTTTCCTTTTAATATATTTATATATTTATTTTATTTTTCATTTTTTATTTATTTTACAGTAGCTGATATGGAAGTCCCAAAATCTCATTGTATCCGTTGCAGAATATGATGACAATAAAGGCTTTTTGACTTTTGACTTCACCAATTGAATCAAGAGAACAAAATTCAATAAAAAAACAATAAGGGGAAATCCTTGTTCTGAGTTGTTCCTTGCTGACTGGGCTCTTTCAAGTGGAGAAAAATCAAAATCACAACAAAAACTTGACAGTTGTAGATAAATAAATGTTACATCTATTTATTTCATGTCATATTTATTCATTTTAAGGGATATTTTCATTTATGTGTTGTAATGGTAGCCTATGTTGCTCTTTATTAGACTTTGAGGTAAAGAGAGCATGTCGATTGTTAAATGAGGAAGTTATGTCCTCTAAAAAAGGCCGTTGCGCCTCAGGGCTTCCTCACGGTTCTTTTCCTGGGAGCAAGTTACTTACTACTCTTAACTCAAACTGGGTGAAACCATATAAAAAAAGGACTATAAAAACAGGAGTAAAAAAGTAACAGAGTTTATTCCAGATCAGGTCGTTACAGGACAGAGAAAATGCTTGGAGCTAAAACAGCTGTGGACTCAAAAATCACGTCCGCGAGCGTCCGGCAAAGATTGAGCCCCAAACAAGGTCATCTTCTCCTTCTTATAGCTCATGAGTCTATGTGTTGCATCAGGTGGATGCTTAGCTATCCGTATCAGAAACTGACACGTCATCAATGCACTGACCTATATGCAGCTTGCCTCTATGCCTCAGGATTACAGATAGCTCTCCTCTATCAGTCCGGCTCCAAGATGTGCCCATATCCTGTGTATCTTAAAAAGACAAGAAGGCTGTCCTTTTTAGATGACCCCGTACACACAGTGACATCCACAATGTGAAGGAAGGCCATCTACTCTCTCTAATCTAGCTAACAAAGTAACAGTGCAAATGATGTATAAAACATAAACCTAACATGATATTTAATAGGAGGGGTCCCGGGATGGACCCTTGGAGAACTCCACATGTCATTTTTAGTGATCTCTGATTACCTACTGATACAAAAAAGTTGCCCTCCTTCATGTAGGATTTAAACCAGTCCAGTGCTGGATCAGAAAGACCGACTCAGTTTTCCAGCCACTGTAATGAAATGCAGCGACCAGCAGTGTGGAATGCTGCACCCAGGTCCAATAAAACCAGCACAGCAGTTTTTCCACTGTCTGCATTGTTACAGATGTCATTGAACTCCTTGTTCAGTAGCTCTCTGTCCTGGACTGAGAACAGAAGCCTGACTGGAAGACAAACATAGTTTATGATAGTCTTACTGTTGAAGGGGAGGTTTGAAATAGGCCTGTAGTTCTGCAGGTTGATAATTGCTGTCATCATGAAGCCTCATTTTTATGATGACACTTGTTGATCGTTGTTTCTTCAGGTTTTTTCCTCTAAAATCCTACAGATGCAGCGTTAGCAAATGTTCAATAAGAACAATAAGAACTAAATTACAACATTCTGAAAACTTTTGTGTGCTTCTTTATTGGTAAATGTTGAAATGAAATGATTAACTTTAAATTTAATCTTTTTCTCTGTTTTCTTGGGCCACACTTTAAACTATCAACCTCCAATCCTCCTCATTCTTCACTGGGCTGTAACTTTAGAAGCAAGATGAGAACCTAAATTGATTTATTATATGTTTGAACTGCGAGCATCTGCGATCCAGCGGCGGTCAGATAAGGCACAGACGAGGATGAGGCTCACAGGACAAGCAGGGCGAAGATCTGCTGCATGTAAAGGCGGACGATGTCGCCAGCTGTCGTGCCACGCTATTGATTGGGCTCCACAGGCTGAGACCAGCCAATTCAGAGCACCAGTGAGCCGAAACCGATTGGGCCTCCTGAGTTACAAAATCATGCAGCTCTTCTTCTCTCATCTGCCAAAAAAGGGCAGGGGAGTTTTTATTTCCAGGCAAATTTATTCTCTTAAGAAAGTTTGAAACATGAGCAGAGTTGGTTTTATTAGTGAACTGCTTAGATCGACTTGATTATTTAGATATTTAGAGATTAAGGAAGAACATTCAAACCTTTCCGCAATATTTAGCAATAGAAAAATGGTGCATTTATGTTGTTAAAGCTTTCTGTTGACTTTCATTTCTGCTGCAGCTCAATCTGAACAAGCTAACCCTCCCTGTAAGGCAGTATTGGTGGACAAACCCTCCTCCAAGTTGTTGATCTATGTCTCTTCACCTGTTTCAGGTATGGGAGGCTGCTTCCTTCTCTCCAGGTCCGTCAGTTTTCAGCAGCCACGGGTCTGAGCCGCATGCTGATCATCCTGGGCGCCATGGAGCCGGTGCTAAAGGGAGAAAATCTCACTGAGGAGGTCATGCAGCGTCAGGTCAGGATTCACTTCACTGTGAGCTTAAAGCTTGGAAGCTGTTTGTTATTTAGTGTTAAACTTTAGGGATAAATGAAAAGTTTCCAGCGGTTCCCCGCAGAGAGCCGTTCTGTTATATTACATGGATAAACATTGATAGACTGCAGTAGGGTCCTGTTGTGTTTCCTGTGCAGCCACAGGATGGCGCTAGCGGGAGAATAATCGCGCCTCCTCCTCCTCCTCAGCCCAGATAGCAGAGTGGGTGATGATTGCAGGAGTGTTTGTCTCCAAACTGTCAGACACACAGAATCCTGCTGGATGTGACACACACATCTTTTTTTTTTTTTGTTTAAAAGAAAAGCGCTTCGCCTTCTTGAGGGCTGACATGATGCAGCAGAAGGACTGTATTTGTCTGCTGATGCCTGGGATGTTAGACAGCTTTCTGACAGGTCATACAGATTGAGAGGAAACAGCTGTTAAGCTCTGCTCTTTGTGTTGCAGATTATATTTATCTCCTTTTAGCTCCACGTTCAGATGTGTTGTAAATCATTTTCCGGCCCCTCTTGTCTCAGAGTCCTGTGGTCGTTTTTAAAAAACCTGTGAAAACGGCTAAAAGCAGAGCAGGAACGGACGCAGACCAAGCTGCGTCTTTTAGAGAAGGCGTTCTGAGAGGTGCTGAGGTTATCGATTGAAAACAGCCTCTCAGGGATCCGTTCCACCGTTTCCCTGCTGCTGTCTCTGGGATGCGATGACGTCTTGCCTGAAGTGTTAAGAGTTCGTTAAGACGCCTTGTTCTCTGCTGCCAGCCACCCACAACTCGATGGCAGCAGTGATGGGGGACCTATTTCAGCTTTTTAAGCATTTCTGTTGTTGCCAAGGAGACAAGGACATCATTGTGCTTGAAATCTCCAAGGACAGGAAAAAAAAAGGATTTTGTCGTCAGGCCAGTGAAGGTTATGATGTTCACACACACACACACACACACACACACACACACACACACACACACACACACACACACACACACACACACACACACACACACACACACAGGCGGACAGACATGGATACAAGCATGCCAGGCTCAATAGAGCAGGCGGCCCTTTTCTCAAGGGCAGCTTCTCTAAGCAGCCTAATTGAACCAGATTTGTTTGTAATGAAATGAATGGGATCTGAACCCCCCCCGATCCAGTAAGGTGTGGACCATGAATGGAACTATAGAAAATTCAGCTCCGGTTGGGAGTTCACGTCTTCACTGTGGTGCATGACACCTGGCCGCCCTGATCGACCCGGACTTTCCATCCTGTGACCCCAAAAACTATCAGTGCTACAGACTGGAGACCCCTCAGGAATATATTGTGTTATTTCCCTCTAAATTCAAAGAGTGTAGTAATTAGATTCATTTTATATAAATATATTATTAATGACATTTACCTATTTTTTTATAATGTGATTTTGATTGTTAAATGGTACATTTTTTTATTGAATTGTGCAATTATGGTTCATTTTCTAACACTGACATAAAAGTTGCACCTTGCTTCATAAACAAAAATCCAGTTTCAATTTTAGCCTTTTTTATTTTACAAGTTTTTCTATTTGGACTTTAAAAGTCAGGATGTCATCAATTAGAAAAGGGCAGGTGTTTATAATCTATTTCATTTCCTTCTCAAGAAAACATTGAGGGGATCTTTAAAAGTCCCTCAGATAGGGAAAAATACATTCAACTGGTTTTTATCGCTGTTAAAAACAAGTTTCAATTAAATTAGGATTATTGGATGGCAGTGAAGGCTTTCTGCCAAACACCAGCTGCCTCAGGAGAAGTAAAAAATACCAGTAAATAAATACAGGGCTGCTATAAAGTTTTCACACATTTTCATTAAAGAAAGGGAAAAAAAAAAAAAAATTGCCAGTAAAATAAATTGAAATTGACAAAAGTTATAATAAAAATGTAAATCATAACATTGATATTGAAAAAAATATATATATATTTACGTGTTTATATTAATAAATATAAACACGTAAATATAAATAAATAAAAGAAGTAAACAAGCCTGATGGATGTTCAGTCAGACTTCTGCACCTGTTGACAGGGATGTCGGTTTACCGCTCATGAGCAAGGCACTTTCATTTGTCTGAAACACTTTGGTTTTTGGGAATTATTTTTTTAGACAAAAATCCAAAATCTATATTTTATTTTTCTGAATGATTGTTTAGTAATTTTTGATTTCTTTGTTCAGTTTTGTTTTTTTGGGAATCACAAATGAGAATTTATTATTTTCATTACTGGGAGGGCGTGTGAACTTCCCACTTGTTTATTATGAAGATGTAATTTTTTATTTACTTATTTTTATTTTTACGGCACTAATGGCTCATTTTATGTACAGTAGGCTGACAGGAAAGGGGTATGAGAGAGGGAGAGACATGTGGTAAAGGACCACTGGCCGGATTCGAACCCAGGTCGCCCGTGTCATGGACTAAGGCCTCGATACATGGGTCGTGTGCGCTAAATACTGCACCACCAAAGCACGCCCATGGACATTTATCATACATACTGGTTCTATTATAATTCCAGTTCATCTTAAGATCAACCCTGTAAGATAAATGTTTATAAAATGACAATAAGGATCTATGAACATGTTATAACATGTATTATATGTTGAAGCTTTTTTGATCAGAATTTCTACTCCCCTTCATTTTTTTCTTAAACCAGGCATAATGGCATATAAGGGAGGTAGCCATCAAACATAATGGTAAAGTGATCAAACAGTTCATTTATTAGTTGAATGGATCTTTTATTTTGCATTTTGCCTTCTTATCCAAAAGTTTTTGTGAAGACGTCAGGAACCCAAGACTTTAACTATGTACAGGGAGAATCATTATCAAGAACCGTGCTCCACATTTGAAAGTTTACTATATTTTAATTAAATCCTTAATAATTAAAAAACAACAGAATAATGTGTGAGGAACTTTAGAATATTTTTTATTTTTTTTTTAAACATCTGATTGGTGAAAATAATAAAGAACTATGTAAAAAGTAAAGGGTTAAAAATTTGACGGTTTACGCACTCAATTAAAAAAGTGATTTGTTATATTATTATAGATTTATATATTTAGGTTTCTCCTTTAATACATTTCTGAAGTTGATTTCGATTATTCAACAGATTTTTTTCTGAATAATTATCATCAGGCTAATCTGTTTTCCCCGTCTGTCTTATAGAAGTACCTCCTTAGTAACCCAGCCCACCAAAGCAGTGCAGTGGACGAGCATTATTTCATGAATGAAAGTGCTGCTCAAGTCAGGTACGTATGGAGTGAATGTTTTTCTATTATGCTTTAATTAGAATTAAAAAAGAAAAATGATATGCAGAAATTAAAGTTTGAAAATCATCTTAATCAACAAAAGGTTTTCTATCTATCTATCTATCTATCTGTCTGTCTGTCTGTCTGTCTGTCTGTCTGTCTAACCGTGTTCATATGTGTGTGTAATTTTCAGTTTTTTTTTAAATAAAATTTTCCTTTTTTAAATTAAGTTTTATGAATTGCCTTCTTTTCAAATGGCATTTTAGAGATCAGTCTCTTCGCTTTATGACCATTTCAACGCCGCTGGTGACCTGCACATCAACCAATACGATGTTGTTGCTAAGGTCCAGCTGACCAATAGAAATGATTCTTCGCTCCTCACTCCGGGGGAAAGCCCGCCCCCAGAAGGGAAGAGAATCTGATCTATGAAACGCAATTCTAAAAGAAAATTAGCAAATTCGATCTAATAAAAAAAAAAAATGAATTTAAATAAATAAAATGGAAAAAATAGATATGTACAAAATAAATATGAAAAAAATGGGATAAAAACTATTTGTAAAAGTATTTGGGAAAATAAAATCAGGGAAAAGTCGCAAAAGGAAATTTGACATTTTTTTATTTTTGTTTTTTTCCAGTTTAACTTTCTGGATTGCTTCTTTCAATTTTAAATAACATAATGTGTTTTTTTTTCTCTTTCTATTCATATTTACAAAACGTGTCCTTTGTTTGCAAAAATAACAAAACAACATTCACTCCATAGATTAGATAAACATGTACAACAGCTTGTTTCTGGATATAAAATCCACCAGATACATCATTATATTTTAATATTGTTTGTTTTTAAAGGGACATCACAAAGTTTAAACCCCTCTCCAGCAAGATAACGGTGAGCATGCTGACTGGGGAGCAGTTTGACGAGCAAATACCAGAACACCTGAACCAAGTGAGTGTTTGCTGCGGCTGCTCCACTTCCTCCTGCTGTAAATGAACAATGCTCCAGTAACACTGTAAATCATATTCCTCCTGCACCAGATGGTAGCCCAACATCAAAAGAGGTTTCTGAAGGAATCCTACCCATCGGCCAATCACGTTCACATAAAAGGAGCAGACCGGCGAATGATCTACAAGCAGCCATCTGCCATCAGCCAGCACCTGTGGAAACTCGTCAGCCAGCGTCAAGCCAGACCGCAGAGCGAGTGACCTGTGGCCAGAGAAGGAAGGGACGCCTCAGATATGGGCCGAGCTACACCTGAATATGTTTTAAATATTCAATAAAACCTCCTGCTTATCGTTTTACCTCTCTGTGCTGAGCTTCATTGTCTGCACGTCTGCTGAGGTTCATCAGAAAGTCTTTCCCACAACACATTTCTGCACAGTTCTACTTCATAGCTACAGTTTTCTAATTGAAGATAACTGGGGGCCATTCAGTGATCAAACATGTTCTATCATAGATTCATCTCATCTTCTAAGTTATTGCAGCTTCTTTAGATTAGCCGGTGCCAAAGAATTAATACATTTTTCCTATTACAGGTCGCGGACACACAGACGTCACCGTCAAACTCCTTTATCTCAATATTCTGTCACGCTTTGGCCAACAGGAAAAGTACCTTCAGTTCATTTAACTTCCTGCAAAAAATTCAGCTTTATAATCATGAATCCTTCTTCCGTTTTAATATAATAAAAACAGAAACCTAAGTGTGTTTTATTGGGATCTAATTTACAAACAGGGTATTGCATAGATTTAACATAGATGAAATATGATGAAGGTTTTTACACAAATCTGAAGGTTCTTATAATCAGTCTAGTTTTCACTGTTACCCCTAAATAAAGTCCAGAGTGACTGACTGCCTTCCAAAGTCCTTATCAATAATAGAGCTCATCTGGGGTGATTATATGTTGGTATAAATCCAGCTGTTCTTTAAAACCATCTTACGCAATGCAAAAGAATAAACCA